TTAGTGTTAGCGTACGGGTTAGGATTAGGGCACGGGTTAGGGTCAGTCTTCGGGTAAGTGTTAGGTTTAGGCTTAGGGATAGGGAGCGGTGACGGTTTAGGGTACAGATTAGGGTACGACAATGATCTAGGGTTAGCATACATGTTAGGGCACAGGTTAGTGTTAGCATACGGGTTAGGATTAGGGTATTGGTTAGGGTAAGGCTTTGGGTAAGTGTTAGGTTTAGGTTTAGGGTTAGGAACGGGGACAGTTTAGGGTACAGGTTAGGGTACGAAAGTGCTTTAGGGTTAGCGCACATATTAGGGCAGGGGTTAGTGTTAGTGTACGCGTTACGATTAGGGCACGTTTTAGGGTTAGGCTAACGGTAAGGATTAGGGTTAGCCTTAGGCTTAGGGTTATGGTTAGGGAACAGGGATGGTTTAGGGTACAGGTTAGGGTACAACAACAGTTTAGGGTCAGTGTACGTGTTAGGCCAAGGGTTAGCGTTAGCGTACGGGTTAGGATTAGGTCACAGTTTAGGGTATCGTTAATGGTAACGGTTAGGGTTAGGGTTAGCGTTAGGCTTAGGGTTCGGGTTAGGAAATGGGGACGATTTAGGGTACAGGTTAGTGTACAAGAATGGTTTAGTGTTAGCGTACGTGTGAGGCCAAGTGTTAGTGTACGGGTTAGGATTAGGGCAGAGTTTAGGGTAACGCTAAGTGTAACGGTTAGGGTTAGGGTTAGGGAATGGGGACGGTTTAGGGTATAGGTTAGAGTACGACAACGGTTTAGCATTAGTGTACGTGCTAGGTCACAGGTGAGTGTTAGCGTACGGATTAGGATTAGGGCATGATTTAGGGTAAGGCTCAGGGTAAGTGTTAGGGTTAGGGTTAGGTAACAGGGACGGTTTAGGGTACAGGTTAGAGTACGACAACGGTTTAGGGTTAGCATACATGTTAGGGCACGGGTTAGTGTTAGCCTACAGTTTAGGATTAGGGCACGGGTCAGGGTAAGGCTTCGGGTAAGTATTAGGGTTAGGGTTAGGGAACAGGGATGATTTAGGGTACAGGTTAGGGTACAACAAAGGTTTAGTGTTAGCGTACATGTTAGGGCACGGGTTATTGTGAGCGTATGGGTTAGGATTAGGGCACGGTTTAGTGTTATTGTATAGGTTTCGAATAGGGCACGGTTTAGGGTAAGGCTTCGTGTAAGTGTTAGTTTTAGGGTTATGTTTAGAGTTAGGGAACGGGGACGATGTAGGGTACAGGTTAGGATACGACAACTTTTTACGATTAGCGTACGTGTTAGGGCACAGTTTAGTGTTAGCGTACGGGTTAGGATTAGGGCATGGGTTATGGTAAGCCTTCGGGTAAGGGTTAGGGTTAGGGTTACGATTAGGGAACGAGGACGGTATAGGGTACAGGTTACTGCACGACAACAGTTTAGGGTTAGCGTACGTGTTAGGGCATGGGTTAGTGTTAGCGTACGGGTTAGGTTTAGGGCACGGGTTAGTGTAAGGCTTCGGGTAAGGGTTAAGGTTAAGGTTAGGGTTCGGGTTAGGGAAAGCGGACAGTTTAGTGTACAGGTTAGGGTACGACAACGATTTAGGGTTAGTGTACGTACTAGGGCACGGGTTAGTGTTAGCGTACGGGTTAGGTTTAGGGCAAGGTTTAGGGTTAGTCTAAGGTTTAGGGTTAGGGTTAGGGTTATGATTAGGGTTAGGGTTAGGGAACGGGGACGGTTTTGGATATAGGTTAGGGTACGACAATGGTTTAGGGTTAGCGTACGTGTTAGGGCATGGTTTAGTGTTAGCGTACTGGTTAGGATTAGGGCACGGGTTAGGGTAAGGCTTCGGGTAAGTTTTAAGGTTAGGGTTAGGGATAGGGTTAGGGTTAGGGAAAGGGTCCGGTTTAGGGTTCAGGTTAGGGTATTTCCCTGCAGGGATCAGCAATAACCAGCCCACCCAGATGCACCTGAACTCAGCTGCTGCCCAGAGCCCCATGGGCATGAACCTGCCAGGCCAGCAGCCCCTGTCCCATGACCCCCCACCTACCATGTTGCCCTCCCCCACCCCTCTGGGCTCCAACATTCCACTGCACCCCAATGCACAGGGGACAGGAGGGCCCCCTCAGAACTCGATGATGATGGCTCCAGGGGGCCCAGACTCCCTGAATGCCCCCTGCGGCCCTGTGCCCAACTCCTCCCAGATGCTGCCCTTCCCCGCTCGGCTGCAGCAGCCCCACGGTGCCATGGCCCCTAGTGGGGGCGGGGGCGGGGGACCCGGCCTGCAGCAGCACTACCCTTCAGGCATGGCCCTGCCCCCAGAGGACCTGCCCAGCCAGCCGCCAGGCCCCCTGCCCCCGCAGCAGCACCTGATGGGCAAAAGCATGGCCGGCCGCATGGGCGACGCATACCCCCCGGGCGTGCTCCCCGGGGTGGCGTCAGTGCTGAACGACCCTGAGCTGAGCGAGGTGATCCGGCCCACCCCGACGGGGATCCCCGAGTTCGACTTGTCCAGGATCATCCCCTCGGAGAAGCCAAGCAGCACCCTCCAGTACTTTCCCAAGAGCGAGAACCAGCCCCCCAAGGCCCAGCCCCCCAATCTGCATCTCATGAACCTGCAGAACATGATGGCGGAGCAGACCCCCTCCCGGCCCCCCAACCTCCCGGGCCAGCAGGGCGTCCAGCGGGGGCTCAACATGTCCATGTGCCACCCCGGACAGATGTCCTTGCTGGGCAGGACAGGTGTGCCCTCACAGCAGGGCATGGTGCCCCATGGCCTGCACCAGGGGGTCATGGCCCCTCCACAAGGCCTCATGACCCAGCAGAATTTCATGCTGATGAAACAGCGGGGAGTGGGCGGTGAGGTCTACAGCCAGCCCCCCCACATGCTCCCCCCGCAGGGCTCTCTCATGGGCCCCCCGCCCCAGCAGAACCTCATGGTGTCCCACCCGCTGCGGCAGCGCAGCGTGTCTCTGGACAGCCAGATGGGCTACCTCCCGGCGCCGGGCGGCATGGCCAACCTGCCCTTCTAGCAGTCCCCGTGGGGGGCTGGAGCTGGGGCGATACTGCAAATAGGATAACCTTAAGAAAGTTTCTTCCCCTTCGGTGTTGGGATGGCCTGGGTCGAGGGGTGGGGTGGAGGGGGTGGGAGGGGGCTTGTGTGGGGAGTGGCATTTGTGGAAACCAGATGTGCTGGCAGCTTAGGGGGAAGTGGCAGAGTGGGGTGGGGGATTTGGGATGGGGGTTGGTCCCATTTCGGCCGCCAGGACTGCCCCTCCCCCCACCCGGTCCCACGGGAGCCTCGATTTTCCCTCTTTCTCTGCTTACACCCACCCTCTTCAGCTTTGCTTTCAGAGCCCTGTATCTAATCCTTGGCAGGAAGTGGAAAGGAGAGGCGAGGTCTCTCCCTCTCCCTCCCCTTCCTGCTGCTGTCTCCTCCGGGAGCTTCACTTTCCTCCTCTTGGTTTCTCTGCCCCCACCCCCCCACCCCCGTTTTTCCTTCTGTCTTCTGCCTCAGTTCCTCTCCCTGATGATGTGGCTGACCCCTTCTCCCACCCCAACCTGCAGGCGGCTGGCCAGGTGGACTGGCGCCAGCCATAGCTGTAAATAGAGCGCTGCGCTTTTGTGCCGGTTTGTGTGTGTGCTGTATTTCTGTGTTTTGATAGAAGTCACACAAAAAAAGGATAAAAGAAACCCTTCCCCCCTTTTTCAAATGATTGCCCCTTCCATTCCCCTGGACCCAGGGGCATGTAGTCTGACACACCTACCCGCTGTGGCAGTGTCTCTGGGTCAATAAAAGATACCATTCCGGTCCCCGTCCCCCAATGGTGAAATGACGTAGCTACACCCACACCTAAACTGAGGTCAGACCACCTAGGCGTCCACCTGGTGAGCCCCAGCAGGGCTGAGACCCCCCCCCCCCCAGGG